TAATGGATGTCCAAAGTGATTTCTCAGAAACAGCATTGTGCATTCAGCCTGCAAAACCAGAGGGGCTTGATTAGCCTCATTCAGCTCCATAGTTGGCCACATCTCCACCCTGCTGGGAAATGGGTCTCTCTTTTTTTCCCTCTCTATCTGTCTATCTGTCTAATCTCGCATGCTGGTTTTTCTTCCTGTGCCCACCATGAATACATAACCTCTACTTAAGGTACCCCTCAAGAGTCCATTGTTGTTTTTTGGGCAGTTTTTCTCCTTTATTTAATACAAAATGATCCATTTCCATTTTAGAGCATGTGACGTGATGTTTTCATCAAAATAAAAGCTCTGTGGTTGAAGGGTTATTCCAGTGTAATATTTGTTTGTTTATGATTAATGATAACAGCAATTGCATCCAGTTTCTTGGGCACCATAATTCAGTATCATAATGAGTTTTCTCCAGACATATTGATGGTGTTTATTAGTCTGCAACCTGTGGATTATAAACCTAAAATTATATTTGCAGCTTCATCTATTCATTTTTTACAGATACAGATATTTCCCATGGCAACTTTAGTGTAGCATTTTTATTTGTCAATAGACTTAGCTGTAAAAGTGCAACTTTGTGTTTGACGGTTGCAGTTTAAGTATCATAACAAATGAGCAACAGACACAAGAGAAAGACGTTTAAACACAGACAGGAGATTAGCCGCAATCTGTCTGAAACTTTCTACACCATTTTAAGATATTTGCTCCCAGTTCACAGAGGTCTTGTGTCCACCATTAAGCACATGGTTGTATTTTGACAGTTTAATAAAGTTAAAAGCTTAGTGCTGCAGTCAGCCTTGGCAGGAGATAAAAATATATTGTCTGGAGTAGTGTGGCCATCTGTAAAGACATCTATCAGAGCTGCAAAGGAACAAGTAATAATAATAATGAGAATTACAAACATGCACGAGGAAGGAATTGCAATAAAACAAAATAAAAAAGCAATAAAATAAGACTTTAATTTGCAATGTTAAAAAAAGTGTAATGGAGGACTTGTTAGGGAGAAAATGTGTTGAGTAGGCGGATGCGTCATCCAGTGAGAGCTTTCATTGCATCGACTAAACCCTTGACTCCAGCTTTAACGTCAGCCAGCAACCAAGTGGCCATTCACATGATGTGTAAGGACGCATAATATATATTAAGTAAGAGAGATGAGGAGTGTGATAATATTAAAGGAATGAAACACAGATATGGACATAGAAGAAGAAAAAGGGAATATTGGCAGGGATATTTCCGTGAGTCATCATAACTCAGATCTCAGAAAGAACATAATTAACCCCAGTGCGCTCCTCAGGAGTGTGAGCACACACATAGTATGCTTTGAACATACTCAGACACTCACATACACACACATCAAGGTGGTGGTCTCACTTTCAAAAATAGAATGAGCACAATCCTCTGGAGCTCTGGTCCATTGCCCTTTCTGCTCCTGCCATTTCAAAGGTCACTCCTGTTGATTCTTCAAGCCGGAATGAGTTAGAGGAAGAATAAAGGAATACTGATGGGAATGCAGAAATGAAACCACTGTCACTGAGATTGCTTTTAGACTGTCAGCTGCAAGTCATTTCACCCCTGTTCAAATGAATTTGAATAAGTCCATTAACACTTAATACACCACCATTAGATACCTTTGTCCTTTATAATGATGGCTCAGAATTTACCAGCTTGAACTCTTGTGATGGGATTTGGGACCGAATAGAAGAATAGATTCCTGTCCTGGATGCAGTGAGTGTATAAGCAGTGCACCCTGGTGGTGAAATTAAAAACTGCAGTGTCTGATTATTTCAGTTCAGATATTTCAGGTGACTTCTGAAAGGTGCTAAGCTGATTAAAATTATCATGGCAAAGTATAATTCCCCCACACACAAACACACATGTACATACACCTAAATATTAACACAGTGCATAATGTCCTTCACTCCCAAATCCATAAATGATCTATTTTATATGGACCTATTTTTGAGTCTGAAATAAAGATTGATTGATTGATTGATTGATCATTGTAATAAGGTACACCGTACACGGCCAGTGGACAGTACGAGCAGAAAGAGTTTACATCTGTGCACACTAACACGGACTCAGTCATCTGTTCTGTCTTTAATCAACTACACTGTGAGAGTCATAAGGCCACACAGAGCAAATGCATAAACATAAGCATTAAAAAGAAAAATGATAATTGGTTCAATTGTACATCTTAAAGTATGTGTTCACGCATCTGTTCTGAGTCCCTCTCTTTCCTTGGAAGGCATTTCATTTTTGCAGTATTACACAATTTGTCTTGGGAATAGAAACCACAAGAGCATGAAGAAACTAGCACACTTGCATATTCTTCATATTGTTATTCTGCGCGGCTCCCGTCTTTATGGTTGTCTTAACAGCCCGCAGGAGCACCAACGGCTCGATGAATGAGTTTCATAGAAAGCTTGCTGAGCAAAGCCTGAAATATGTTATTCATATTACTGCAACAGCTCCTCCTGAAGACAATACCCATTGTGCATGTATGTATATGCAGCCAACATACAGCACAATTAATGTCTTTCTTTCTTTGATTATTCATTGTTGATTAATGTTACTTTTGTCTTGAAAACATGAAGCAAGCAGGAAACTAAAACATGCAACACACAATCAAACAAATGAGCAGAAAGCCAACTAGAATGTATTAACAATATTTATTCACTACAAGTTCCAGTGTTATTTTTCCTATTTCATTTCAAACCAACAGTAAGAACAAGATGTATTTTTATACATATTTACAGATTGGTTTTTACTATTGGCAGTATATCACATGTCCTTATTTATTTATGTACACAACCCATTTGCCACCTTGTGTACCACACGCCAGCCTACGGCCAGGGTAGAAGATGAGATGTTTATCTGAACTGGGTTAAAGCCTCAGTAGTTTTCTACTGATTGCGCTCTCTTTCCTCCGATGCTCCTGCAAATGGAGGGCAGAGCGGGAGTAAAATAATCTCAGTTTAGCTTTTTCCAGCCTGAAATAAATTTACTCTGGGAAGGATAAAGCCAGAGATCTTTGAAGACAAGTTCGTCTTTAATGTTGTAAGCCAGTGCTCAGGGCAGGGACACTGGGAGAGATGGTGAGTGGAATCTACAGACAGAATATGTTATCTCGAAAACACTGCTGGACATAAAAAAAGAGGAGAAAGAGGGGATCTTTGATCTTTTGACCTTTTTGAGCCGTATTGTATTCATAAATTATAAATCAATGTGTGTGTGTGTGTGTGTGAGCGTGTGTGTTTTAGATGGATTTTTACCAAAGTATTGTAGCTCTGCCACACAGTAGAAAGCCTTGAGACAAAAAAAGAGAGATATAAAAAAACAGTTAAATAAATGTGTCTGCAACAATAGTGAGCTGGAGTATAGCTGAGGCCAGACTGGGGTCAAATGTACAAAGACGAACATATTTAAGATTGATCTGGAGTGGTCATGTTGTAATAAATGAGAGCATAGTGCAGTGGTTCCCAACTGGTCCAGCCACGGGGTCCAGATTGCTCCGTAGTCATTAGTTCAAGGTCCACACAGCTAGTTTGCTGTCTCTGTCAAGTAGCTGTCCGTTAGTTATTCACGCTACAGCAGGAAACTGCACTTCAAACGTGCAAGAAATTCACTGTACTTCAAAATAAAATGTGTTTTTTACAAGTTTAAGGTGTTCCCTGAGTCATTTGTGGTCCATATAGAATGGACCAGCAACCCACTTTTGGACCACGACCCACTTTTGGACCACGACCCACCAGTTGGGAATCACTGGCATGGTGAAGAGTTTTAAAAAATACAGATATTAAATTAGAAGTCATTTATAAGAAGACTTCCAGGCAAAAAAAAAAAAAAAAAAAAAAAATCGGATTACTGTTTGATCCAGGCCTGTGGAAACAGCAGGCTTACATCACTGACAATGAATTGTGACACAAAAACAGCGTTGACTTGAACTCAGTAGGTGAATTTTGTCACTCCATAAGTGTGTGAATTTGGGAAGACATCAATAAAACAAAAGTACCTCTCATTTATTGTGAACATTACCCAAATATGTGTTGGGATTAAAGAGCATTCTGTTTATTTATATTTCTAGTGTAATATATTAAAGGAGCAGTCCGGTATTTTTCACTTTAAGTCCAATTTCTGGGTTGTTTATGATGAAATAGAGTGGCTCAGACCAAAATAGTGACGATTGCTCCCTTTCGGAGAATTTAGCTTTCCCCTGCCTGGCTGCTATGGCCATGTGTGAGCCTGTCTTAAAACCACCCTGAACGTTCGTTTTCAAAGCCATGAAACTCACCAAGTAGTCAGTGGTGTTCGTTGATGTTCTGACATAAAAATCGTAGCAAACTGGTTTCCGTGATGATGTATTTGACATTTTGTCTACCCCACTGGTTTTCTATGGGAAGCCTCATTGTCTGTTGGTAGTGATCCGCCACCAGAAACGGAAAGGGGGTTGTTTACGACAAGGTTTTAGTCATTGTAGTCTTTTAGCTCAGCGAAAGTGCCGTGTGCGCTCCTGGAGGAAGAACGAAAACGAACGAAAAAATTTTGTAATAAGTTTAAACAACTGCCCAATGGATTACTCGCTTGTAAACATCCGTCGCAGCACGATGTCTTTGAACACAACGCCAACCTTCTTCTTCTGCTTCTTTTCTGTGTTCCATTACATTGCAATGGTTTCCTGCCGGTTGGTGACACCCACATAAAGGAGCATTATTGCCATCAAGTGGGCTGGAGTGTATAACGCTTCAGGGTCAAAAGAAAGATCAAGCGAAAGATTAAACACGGGTGTGAGGCAGCTGAAAAAATAGTTCCACAATCAAGATGAAGAGCAAAAACACGTCTGGAAACCACTTTGAGGGTGGTTTTAGGACAGGTTCACACATGGCCATAGGCAGCAGTGTTAAGCCAGGCAGGGGAAAGCCAAATTCTCCGAAAATGAGCAATCGTCACTATTTTGGTCTTAACCACTCCATTTTATCAAAATCAACCCAGAAATGGGGCTCAAAGTGCAAAATACCGGACTTCTCCTTTAAGCTAATTCCACTCTACACTCGCTGCCAACCCTCCCTTTTTTTAAATTTTAATTTTCTAATTTAATCATTAATATTTTGAGTGTAATATAACACCTTCTAGGAAACAACCTGAAGACATATAAATGTAGCAGTCCCTACATTAAAAAAGTACTCTGTAAAGTCAGTGAAGTTGTCTGGTATGAACTAAATAATATAAATGTAAAAAAAAAAAGAAAAGAAGAGAAAAATAAAGTTTCCACAATAAATCATGAGATTATATGTGTTTGAGCACTTTTTGTAATGTTAGCACACAAATTTGTCTCTGTAAGACTCGAAATGCCAAAACAGCACATTTAATTAAAACTCATATTAGACATAAAGAGGAATTGCTTTCAAAGAATAAAACACCTTTCAATACAGCATGTAACACACAAATAATTGCCGTATGAAGTATTGCATCATAGCTACTAGAAATTATTAGTATTGCGCATAAATGCACAATGAGAAATGATTGCTAATTTGGGAACACTGTAACAGTTTTGTCAGAGAGTGGTGAAATTTGGTTAAAATACAAATACAGCAGGTCAGAAACACAGTGATACTACCATATACAGCATGGGTGTCTATTATTAATCGTAACACATATGGCCATTCATATTAAACCATACTGTATTTACCTCAGACCTCGTAATGAAATGGCAATAACCATTAGAAAATGAAAACATTAAAAAAAAAGCATCCCTTCATTTTAAACCAATAACAGACTATCAAATCCAGTTTGTCGTCTAATGTAACAAAAAGAAGCGTTTTAAAGTTAAGACACATGAGTTGTAGAATATGTATCAGTCAGACATGTATTTTCTTTGATTCACAATCTAGCCTACTGTTGTAGTTACAATATGTACAGTAAAAAAAAAAACAATAGGTGTTAGACTTTGTCAAGGGGAGAAAAAAAAAATCACCTTTAAATATATATTTGTCTCTTTATAAAGCATTTATGAAATAAGACATCCTCTTACCCACGACTTCTGAAAGCAGCACTGATGTGACATCAACCAGATCAGGACAACAGAGAGGATGAACACAGCGAAGACTACGACACCATCCATCAGCAGGTTCAAGTTTAAATCGGGGGACAGTAGCTTTCTGTTGTGAAAATCCAGTGCTTGTGCTATCTTCAAATATCATCAGTATTCTGTATGTGCAGAGTTTTGATATATGTTGTTTGGGTAAAGCTTGTAATTAGTAAGACTGAGTTATTGTTTGTAAGACAGCAGTTTTGATATAAAAATGCTCTGAAAAGTGCAAAAACGTAATTAAAATGTTTGCATTCAATGAATTAAAGTATATTATGCAATGTATTGCACCCATAAAACCCCTCTCTCTATATGCTTCTAAGGCCATTTCTCCCAACACCCTTTTATTCTTTAGGTTCCTCCCAACAGACGTTTAAACATTCACTGTTTCAATGCATAACCCTCATCACAACTATCAACCAAAATTACAACTGTGACAATGAAATTATTGGAAACAATACGGACTTAATTTGTTATCCTAAAACAACAGACACATGCATTTATGTGGGAATCCGAGCTTGCTTCTGTCTGACCGTGCAGTGTGGACACATTGAGATGAAAATGCCTTGTGTTGCTTTGAGTCTGAACAAAAAGAAAAACAAAAACCCACAATCATCACAATGATCCAGCCCTGAAGAAGATGTGGGAATCCAGGTTCTGCAGGAAATTTCCCTCCACTTTTGCGAAATTAAAATGGTTGAAAAATCGTTCCCACCACACCAGCCAGGAAAATCCATCCAATAAGGGGATGATCAGATTCCATGTAATGCTCATCTACAAAATAAAGGGTCCCGTCCATCAGGGAATTGGCATTAAATGAACTCTGTACTGTGAATCCAAGTTTGTTTTGAGATAAAGAGGTTGTGACGAAGTCGTAAAGGGCAGCGGGCTGCTTCAGCCCATATTCGGTCTGTTCTTCATCAGTGGGTTCCAAACATCACAAGAAAACAAGCATGTTTTTAGTCTTGTTTTCAAAGCTAACAGTTTACCAAATGGGATTTCACACCAGCGAGCCAGCTCTGCTCTGGGCTGGCACCATGACAGGCACCGCCCCCATCCTCTCCAGCGTGGCCTGGCTCACGGCGTAGGAGTGCGTGTGCTGCCCGTGTGTGGAAGTCACCACTGGTTTGAGGCTCACAGAGCCGTTGCTGCGCACCATGGCGGGAGGGGACGGGGCAGAGTTTGTGGTGACCACCAGAGTCTTGGGTGGTGGGAGTGTGTGGCTGCCGTTGGCGAACGCTGTCGTTGTTGCTGTTGTGGGCTGTGCATGGCGGGACAGCGGAGCTGAGCCTGGTGCTGTGACCACTGTACTGTGGCCGTGGCCTGCGTTCTGGGCCTGTCCGTGTCCATGTGCAGCGTGAGCAGCGGTGGAGAAGGTCTGACGAGTGTCTCCATTGTAGCGGGTGTAGGAGTTGGTGTCGTAGTTGGGTTTGGGGTTGTGCCAGTAGCGGCTGTTGTAGGTGTTGGTGGACGTCAGCGTGTCGTTCTCTGAGGATGAAGCGTCTGCATGGAAAGCCTTCACTGATGATGACCTCTTGGGAGGAAGGTCATCTTCTCTGTTAAGATAAGACGTCGTGAAGATGTCAGTGATATTAACGATAGCAGTAAGATAGCCAATTAGTTTGTCTTCAAATGTTTAGTACAGATTCTCTGTTGGAGCATAAAAATTAAAAGAGCTCCTCTACGCAGCCAAGTTGCAACACATCGAGAATCTTAATGCTACTTATTTATTCATCTTTGCCCTTAGAGTGGGAACAACTGTACAAATAAAGGATATAACAACACCCCCGCCTCTTTCACATGAACGTGCTTGTGGCTGGATAAGAAACCCAGAGCTGACTGAACTAGCTGATAACCAGCTTTGTATCCAGACGGCCAATGTTAGAGTTAGTCAAACCAGATAACGAGATGATACCCTGTGTTAGCTGAACTGCCTTCGTAGTACAGGCCTCCGGTCTTTCACATCTGCACTCTGCATCTCTGCACCGTCATTCCAACTGGGGAACGACTGTAACAGCCCTGAGGTGGCACTTTCTACCTTTATATGGTATAGTTGTGACATCACAACTTCACATAACTCCTGATGGTTTGTTTAAAGGTAAAAGTTTCTGAATACAGAGTGTGAGTGGATTTCTCTGTGAACTGAACATTATGATAGTTTCACAGTACAGTGTTTATACAGCGCCTATACCTGCGAAAAGAAAGAAATGGAAATCTGACTTTTTATAATATGAGACCTTTAAACCAATAAAGGGCCACCATATTTAAACCATTCAAAAGTACTTATATTTTTATCAATAAACTGTTGATAAACTTCCAGTAAATATGCTGTGAATATCACTGGTTTTAAGTTGCAGTTTAGTCATTCCTCGCTCATATATTTTTTTAAGCATGAGTAATTTTGGTGGATGAGTTTGGCTCCTGATACATTTGGCTGAGATAATATTCATTGTGATTTGCTGTTAGTGGTGAAAAGCAGAGCTGCTGGGCTGGAAACTGAATGTGCTATTGCAGATGAGCCCAAAATGAAGCAGATGTTATCCCAACCAGCCAAAGACTCACATATCTGAACAATGATTTATCTTCCAAATGATGCATGGAGAGATTTTTGGGAGAAATTGCAGCCCATTTAATCAGCTGACAGAGCTTCACAGACTGTTTGAACGGACAAATTAGGCTGAGATGATGGAGACATTTGCTGCAAAGAGATAAAAATTAAGCTGAATTCTTCAAACTTTCAATCCAATTAACTGGTCTGGGTTTCTGAGCTGAATCTTTGTGATTGCTGTGATGACACTAATCATTCTGCTGTAGGACATACAAAGTTCCTGCTGAATCTTATCACCCTTTGAAATACAGCAGACAGGCTGCGAATGTCAGCCCAGTCGCCAGGGTGAAACATTGGCACTGTGCATTTCTGCAAACCACATATGTTACATTTGTACTTTTCATACGTATCATGTCAACATTTGACTTTCGCTGGTGGACGGCATGACACCCGGGGGAGACGGCTGCAAAACAGCAGATAGTGTCATACCATTTTTTTTAGACCAACAAACAATAAAAGCATGTATTTTAACGACACATAGGGACATTTCTTGCTGTGTCTGGTGTGACAAAACCTTGTAATTTTTTCAAAACACGTGTTTGTTGTGACCAGAGCTGGTATTTTAAGCCAAAACACGATGTTTTCCAACCCTAACCAAGTGGTTTCTGTGCCGTAACCGAACCACATGCTAACCACAGCATAACATTAAAAATTAAAACATAAAACATAAAGAAATGTAAAGTTTCATCACATCCACTCTGTATGAAACCCACAAACATATCCATATCCATGGTTTTCAGAAATGTACAATACCAATATTTATTCTGGTGATTCATTCTGGGTTGCAAATGTAGTCTCCACCCTGCCACAGTCTGTACAACATATGCCACTAAACAATCTGTGTGTGAGACACAACATCTACTACATACATTAATATTATGTATGCACTGGAAAAAAAACAACAGCATCTGGTTGTGACTGACCAAAGCCACAGATCAAAGCCAAACCTGATCTCATTGGGGATCTCCTCCTCGTCGTATTTGTTCTTGTTCTTCCAGTAGAAGAGTGTGACCACCACTAACAGGGAACAGATGATGACAGCTAGGACTCCTGTAGCGATGGTGCCCGCTATCAGACCCACACTCTGAGGCTGGGCTGCAGGACAGAGAGACAGGAGGAGAGTGTTTGCCAAAAAGTTCAGTCTAAATTCATCGTGGTTTGGCCTCAGATGAAGAGGGAGCTGGATGGGTGGCACAAAACTAGACAGGAAATGTAGTAGGTTCATGAACTTGTTTTCAAAACTGTGTGTGCTCTTTCAAAGATTTTTTTAATTTGGCAGACACATGCAGCAATTTAATATTTTTGGGGCAATATAGCTTTACTCTTAAACTCTTAAAATACAATTCAAGGACCTATGGGATGTGTTGCCTGACTAACAGGAGCTACTGTGTCCATTATATAATCTGTGAGAGGAGGAGCTCATGCTATGGTAAGTTTCTTTGGTGGACAAGAGCTATTTTATGTCCCTTGGTCTAAAAATATAGACACAATTTCATATTGGAGATGGAGAAAAATCTCGTACTGATTTTAATATATCAGTTTTTCAAAGTGAAATAGAAACAGCAGTGGAGCAGAATTTTGAGTAACACTTCCTCTTTCTGAGCATTTTCATCTGCACCATGTCGGCAGTGACTGAAACCCGCTGTAGTCTCTGACAGACAGGCTCAGCACTCTGCTGTCTGTCTGCCTGTATTCATGACACTGAGCGTCATCCTGTCACACACTGTCAGACTGAAAAAGAAAAAAGACTGTGTAACGATGTTACAGTCTTTCCTGTCAAGCTATCCAAACTGTCTGACCCCGTATGACCCCAAACCAACTCTGTCCTTTTCTCTGAACTGGTGCAGGCGTGAGGCAGTGTAACTATCTGCTGCTCTTGTCCTTTGTGTAGTTGTATAGTTTATTTGCCTGTGTTAATATTGATCCTGTCTGTCTGACAAGTGTCACCCTAATTTTATTTCCATCTGTCAGAGTATAAGTGAGACAAGGCGCTTCCATCTATAAATGCAGATCCCTCACCAAACCATGTGTCAACTGGTGTATAAATGACAATAACAGTGTTACATGGATCCAGCAGTGAGGGAGCAGTGTGTCTGAGTGTACTTACGTGCTACGACCTGCAGGTTGAGCAGACAGGTGCTCTTGCCGATGGCATTGCTGGAGGTACACTGGTAGAGTCCTGAGGTGCTGGTGCTGATGTTTCTCAATGTTACAGTGCCCTGCATCTGATCTGAAGGACACACACACACACACACACACACACACACACACACACACACACACACACACACACACACAGAGCCACATGGTAATTAAAGTGACTGAGGCTGCATTGTGAATCACATACTTTTTCTTTTTACTTTCAGTACATACTGCAGCTGCCTCAATTTATTTTATCATAACATAACTTGATTTGTTACCCTCTGGCCCATATATTTGTCGCAGTCTGTAGCACGATATTTAAAGTAAAAAGAAAGGGTATGGGATTTGGAACACAGCCTAAAACACAGATACGTCAAAGCAAAAACCTAGGACTCAGTGCATATCAAAGAAACATTTACAAAAAGTCTGCTAAGTGTAACATCGTGGTTAATTTGAAATAAAAACAACTCAGAAAGTCATTCATAGTTTGTGTAAAATGTGGTTAACTTTCTTGTTCTAATCTCCACAGTATAAGAATACATTCAATTTAACTAATTTTACTATCTACCAATAGAGGGTGCTATACAGCTTTCAAACAAGTAAAGAATATTGTACATTAAAAAAGTAAAGCTGCAGATTCCTTTCTTTCACAAATAATGAATGGGTTGACTTGTGGGCGTATAACCAAAGAGCTGTACACTACTGGATACATTAAAAAAGGCCTCAGCAGTTCATAGGACATAATGCAGATTGCCACCTGTTCTCATGATAGTGACATGACAGATGTCACAGCTGTCTGTGTCAAACGTTTCAGTGAAAATGTGATTGAAATTAAGCAGCAGAAGAAGACAGATTCAAAACTCAAACACTGACAGTTAAGTATTTCAAACCAGGTGGGCTCTCTGACTGTCATCAAGAGGAGATGTATCATAAAGAAGAGTAAACTAATTTAATGAAAGTCTTGAAGACTATAAACACAGTGTTTAACAATAAAATTAAAAAAATACAAACATCACCCACAAAATGAATATTTATAAATCAATTAGTAACGCCACGTTACCCTGAGTAAACTTTGTTTTTCATGCATGCATCCAGAGAAAAAGGCAAACACATTGATTTAAGGTTAATTGGGGATGATGTTCAACAACTGCAAAACTATAGCAAATCATCTGTTTACAAACTCTCACACAACTCGTGCAGTAAAATCAAAGTCTCATGTATCCAGTAGTATGCACAATACTTCCCAAACACATGCATTTTTACTACAACAATAAGTAAATACAATAAAAATCTTAGTATTCGAGTCTGGCTTTGAAGAGAGCAAAGATAAGTTTCACTCTCAGTCCAGCTAGGTTTTAACTTGTAAGCAAATGTTTTGATATGATTTTGTTGTTGTAAATGCAGTCCACAATCAATCAATAAATCAATATGTTTGCTGTTTTCTGTGGGGGCATGCCAGTAAAACAAAGTTTTCATCATAAATTCAAGGTAACATGAAATAACTAACTGATGCAACTAACAAATCTCCATTTTATTGGAGAAGTTTTCCTTTAATAGGCTGGTCTTGATATTTTGTAAACACAGGAGGGGATTTCCTCACACAGCTAAAATTGAAATATATTTTTAAACTGTCCCTCAAATGGTTGATATTTAATGTAATATCATTTAATTACAGCATCAGGGTTTAGAGGAAGTAATGTAAAGGACATGCAAAAAGGGAAATATAACTATAAGAAACATTTGGTTTCTTTCATTTTGTGTTTTGTTTGTTGTTATTGTTTTCCAATACAACTGCCATTTTGGTGAGATACAATCTGGCTTCTTTCAAGCTCAGTTAGATGGTAACATATCAAAGAGCTGATTGTATTCAGTCACCTTTGTAGCTGAATCTGCAATTAATATTCAGTGTCTTCACATTTAAAGTCTTTTCCCAGTGTCGACATACAAGAAAAATATATACATATATTGACTTTCTTGTTGCGGGAATCTGCAATCTGCAGTTTATTGTTACATTTTGTACATTAGCCTTTTATTTACCAGTAGTGTACAGACAAAGAGAGTGACTTTTGATGATGATTATTCGACTGTGCAATGGGCACAGCTGGAAAAGAAAGGAGAGTCCACAACACCAGTGCTCTCTGATGCTGAAAACCAAACACATTTCCATTCTACCTGCTCCTTATCATACTTAGTAACTGTTGAAGCAGTATGGCCACAGTGACTGCACCAGTCCAGTACAAAAAATTGCAAGTGTGTCAGAGTTGGTATTCAGCATGAGAAGATGAGGAAGAACATAAAACACCACCACAGATCAGCTGGGTTAATTGCACACACACATTCCTGATGCACCCATTCACAAATTCACATGGTTTAAAACACTTCATCCATCCATCATCACCCCTCAGCAGGGTCAGAAGGGGGGGTGGGCCTTGGGCGGGCAGTAGTTTGGGCCTGGCACATGACAGGTGGCGGTGATGGTGGGATTGTTGCTGAGTCTGAGCAACGCTATGTGTGTGGGATTTACCAGCAAAGGTGGGGCAAAAGGGAACTCCGACGGCCAGCTTGTTAGTAATACCTTGCATGGCGTTGTGCGGCAGCTTGGGCAGCGCGTCCAGCTTCTCCCAGGAGTAGGACGGCGTCGGGATGCCTTCCTCTGAGCTGCAGATCAGCATGATGTCACTGCCTACATCCAGAGTGCCCTGGATTCGACATGCTGGCACCGAGGGGGGCACTGGCAGATGGAGAGAGTAGGCGGTGGAGTGTGAACGGGTATACAAAGAAAATCTAATAATTTCTTATTTGCAGAGGAAATTTCATATTTAAAAAAAGCTGAAGACTCTCAGCATTACAACAGTGCTTGCATGCTGCTTCACTGCAAACTGATGCTCTTACAAACTGAAAAATAAAGTTTCAACCTGCTAGAATTTTTTATGATTGCTGCATTGAAAATGCTGTTGTGTATCTGTCTTTAGAGCTCTACAGTTGGAAGGAAATGATGCCCTCCAAGTTAAGGGCCAAAGTGAGCAAGTTTCAAACAATGAAACTCTGAATATGAAATTAAAGATTCCTGCTGACGTCTTATTTTTTAGGACATTAAAAAATGAAATATTCTGTGGTGATGTGCGGTAATTTACCCAACACGGTGAGCCCAATGACACCGATGTTGCGCCCCCCTCTGTCTGGGAGGTTGTTGACCAGGCACTGGTAGGTCCCAGTGTCAGACAGCTGGGTGTTGTTGATGAAGATGGAGGCACTTGTACTTGGCATGGTAGCCACGAAGCCCACACGGCCATTGAGGTGGTTGGCGAGGCTGAATACCTGGCCGCCCTGGTAAATAATCACCTGGATTGGGATGTGACGGGGAGGTGATGGAAGAGAGACAGAGAAGGTGACGGATGTAGAAAAGGATGGCGAGTTGAAGTGAATTGGTTAAACAGAAGGGTAAATGGGAAAGGGTGGAGGGTGGAAAGATGCGTTGGTGGCAAAGGGGTCAGGGGGAAAAACAAGTACTGAGAATCAGCATTTCATTTATTTTTAATAATTCTTAACAAATAAATGTGTGCCTTTGTTCAAAGATATGTAACAGATGGTGCCAAAGTTTGTGCAGCCATAAAATCCTCAATGCACTTGTGGCCTATTACAAATACCTCCCACTAGAGGGAGTCCTAGTTCTTCTAACAGGCTTAAAAATAGCTTGAAGGTGGACAGAGAAAGTTAAGGAGTGAACAGATTTTCATGTCCTAAGATACAAACAAACAAACAGACAGAAGGAGGAAAAACCTTTTATTTGTAAGTGGTTGTTTCTAGCTCAGTGATTCCAGGGTAAGGAGTACATACTAAAAGTATGCTTTTATGGTACTATCAGGCTCTTCAGATAAAAGCATCCACTAAATGGTATGCATAATTGAAAACATTTTAACTTAGAAACATATAAACTGCAATCTGATGAATCCAACAGTAGCAATGGAGGAGGTTTTTCTGCACAAGGAGTCAAACTCAGCGAGAAATTAAACCAAATCCTTGCTCTTTATCATTACATCAGTGACCTTTGAGAATAGTCACAGTGAAGAACACACTTCTGAGGATGAATTCAGGCCTTTGGGTTGAGGTAAGCTTGTCTCAGGTCCAAGTTAAAGAGCGATGAAGGATCAATTTGTTCAAAAGCTTCCCTCAGGCCTCAAACTCGGGGCTGAACAGCTCGTTTGTGAGGCCGAGCCACATGCAAAACAGCTCTCACCCCTCAGCTGGGCCCACACAAAAGATGAAGACTACACACGCAGACACATGGTATGTGCACACAAGTCTGGCACTCACACACACGCGCACGCACCAGCTCACACACAGGCATACACTCACGTAGACACAAAGTGCGGAGGGGAATCAGAGGGGCTATTCACTTTGGTGAAAAGAGCCCTCATTGAACTGCTCAAAGAGCCAGGCAGGGAAACAACCAGCACCAGTGTGGATGTGTGCATGTGTGTGTGTGTGTGTGTGTGTGTGTGTGCGTGAGAGTGATAGTTCTGATGGAAGTGCAGGAGTGTGTATGTGACTGTGTCCTCCACTGCTGCTTAACGGTTGTAAATTGCGCGGCTGCAATTTCCTGAGTGCAGTACGCTCGCTTTGTCCTCTTATGTGCAGATGAATAGGCAGCTCCTCAGCTGTGATGAGAGCCTGCAACTGCATCTTCTGTGTGTGTGTGTGTGTGTGTGTGTGTGTGTGTGTGTATGTGTTTCAGTGTATATTCATATACTCACAGGGAGTGTATCAGTTTTGACTTGTGTGTGCAAGTGTGTGTGATTGTCCTGCCACAGACTGTTTTTCAATCTCCACTTTTTTTTTTCATGTCAAAATTTTTTCCCCCGCCAGTTTCTGTCAGTGTGTCTCTGCCTACCTCTCTGTTTGCCTCTCTGACAGACGGCACCGGTATGACCTGGCTCTACACTCCTGATGACCTAACAATATAATCTGCATGCTCGGTGAAAGTGATCCAATCAATCGGCCTCACACGCAACCCACACTGGGTGTGCATGTTGGTGTGTGTGCATGAGTGAGCAGAGGATTAAAGCAGGCCCTAAACTGTGGTGCATCTTACACCTGCCAGTGCTTTTTTGTTCTTTTCTGACATTCAAAAAAATCAATCATGGTTGTATTACAGGTGTCAAAAAATACCATAATGGACATAAGAATGTGCACTCGTGTGTATTTTCCAGCTTAAAACATGCCACATTCTGCGCATTCTCTAGACTTTGCATCTCTGTCCACTGTGTTGCTCCGTCCATATCTATGTGTGTGTATAAATCACCTCATCCTCTCGCATGACCTGGTTGGCTTTGTAGCTGTGTGCAGGGAGAAAAGAGGTCATGGCTGGCACTCAGATGGCCGACAGCCCTAAGAACTCTAGCTGGACTATCTGGACGTCCCACTGCTGGCCCAGCGGTAAACCTCTGCTACATCCCTTCCCTCCTAAAACCCTACACACATACAGCACAAGCATTCCCTCACACTCTTGCTACAGCCCATTCTCATGCTCTGCAACCCGCCCCATAAGTGTGAGCCACAAGTGGACGCACACAGTAAACCTTCAGATATCCTCTGTCACTGTCTGTCTTGCAAGTGGAGCCTACTTCTGACTGACCCTATGGGCCCTGTTGGCCCCAGACATGAGAGACACTGCCATCGCCTCAATAAAGCCTGAATAAACCTCTAAACCCCGACAGCCTCCCGTCAATTTACTGACTGTAAGCTGCCACTGTTATCTCTTTCTATCCTCTGAGACATGTTCTGAACAATATGGGCCCAGATCCATGTCGCTAGTGTATTTTGTTTTTCAAACTGCTGGTTTTAGCACGTAAACTACATACTGCGTGCACACTTGACCTTATTGCCATCCTGTCCAAAGCATACAGTCAGTGTTTAGAAAGATCAGCCAGTTGCTATGTTTCTGTTTTCTCTGTGGTGCATTCAAGGACACCAAAACAACAGTGTCTTTTGTAGTAATCATTGCTTGCGAGGGCTGATATGAAAAGTCACTGTGGGTCAAATCAAGTCACAGCCAAGTATCATGTCTGAAAGGGCTTTTTGGGCCTACATCAACAACAGTATTCAATAACACAAGCTATCGAAGAAGACAAGTTAAAAAAAAGGTTTTGTTTAATACATAAAGAACAAAAGGAAAAACCCTCAGGGGGGAGAGGAAATTCAAAGAGAAGCTCCATCTCCTCAGACAGCTGGAGGTAGAATAGGAGCCAAAAGTGGGGATTGTAGAAATACAAAATAGAACAAAAATGCAACAGAATTATAATTGATCCACTGATAGTAATTACCAACAAAGTATGACCATGAGTTAGTCTGGTATCAGCGCTTTGTTGTTCAATGTGCAACGGAGGGGTAGGTAGAGGCACATTTTCATTCCCAACTCTTAAAATACTGTGTGAGACCTGGTTGGTAGAGGTTAGGAATAAAGGAGTAAGGGCGGTCCAACATCTTAAATCCAAAGTTAGCTGTCCAAAAACATTGCATCGTTTTGCTCTGTGGTCAGAGGATCCCACCCGAACTGGGTCTCCGTCCAAAGTCATCGAAATCCAGTGCTTGGGCAGTGACTTAGCATCAGAAACCAACAAAAGAAAGGTGTCCTTTAACTGGTTGCCGTTACATTTTAATGGCACCCAGCGGCATCAGGGGGAAATGCGGTGGGACAAGAAGGAAAGTTAAGGCAGCCAAAGCGTGAGTGGGATAGATGGGTCGTCCAACAAACCACGAGAGTGGTGTTCGCTTACCATAAGATTATAAAGCCAAACCCTGTTCTTTTTTCCTAAACCTAACCATGTCTGTTTGATGTTGGAGGAAAAAATAACATTGATTAGCGGTATTGTACTGAAGCATTGTGTTTACTTTGAAAGAGACTGTATGTAAATGTTTTTTTTCCTGTGAAAACTGAAGTGCATGAAGACAATGCATGTAACAGGCAGAACTTGACACACCGTCCCAGAACGTCACCAACCAACGCACCCAGGGTACCTTGCACGTCGTATGTAGACATGGAAACCAAATGTCAACATGTGACAAGGTCAGAGTGAGAATGTGTTGCCCACCCAGAAGACAAGTAATGTACATAATCCACAAACCTTTTATTTTGTTTATACAACTGAATGTCTGAGTAATCACACATCAAGATTTGTCCTCAAGTACGTGGACGACTCTGTTATTGTAAGTCTTCTTCATGGATCAGAATATGACCATGGTTCCATATTGGATAAATTTGTTAATTGGTGTGACCAGTCTTTGCTTCACATTAGACGTTTATTGATTTTCGGAGGAGGCCCTGCCTTCCTGCTCCATGTGTGATCAAGGGGGAGCTGGTGGCAGCAGTGTAAGTATTTGGGCACTGTTTTAAAGGACAAGTTGAATATTGATGTGAACACTGACGGCATCTGTAAGAAGGCAAACCAGTGCCTATTCTTTTTGAGGAGGCTGAGGAGTTTCGATGTAGATAGGACTACTTTTATTGAGTCCATTCTTAAAAAAACAGTTGGAAAAAGTGTGCTGTAAGATCACTGTAAGATCACTAACCTACAGCATCTGTATGAAGGGAGGGTCACCTCTAAAGCTCAGTCTATTGTCTCAGACTCTCAACATCTCCGGCATGTTGAGTTTCAGATGCTTCCATCATAGCGGAGGTTTTGCCTCCCTAAATGTAGCACTAAACGTTACAGATCGTCCTTTGTCATGTCTGCTATCACTCATCTTAACCAGCAGTGACCACTAATGTCCATGATTTACCCCTGACAGTGTGTGATTCTGGATTCTGTGTGTTATGTATTGTACTGTCTGTTATGCTGTACTCTTGACTACTGTCTGTATCTAAAATTGCCCCTCAAGGACATTAAAGGTTTACCTTACCTTACCTAAACCAAGCATATCTGAGCAAAGGATATCTAAGTACAAGGCGTCCTTGCAAGCAGCTAGTTTGAACATCAGCATTTCCATGCAGTGATGCTGTCCATTAAAATGAGGGTGTCAGTGATCTGGATTTGGCAGTGATCAGGGTGGGTTAGTGATCTGTGCCCTTCAGCTAAAGGTAAGGGTTCAAGCCCTCGTAACAGAAATAATTCATGTACTTAAGAAAGACACATAAAACCCTACTGCTGACAATGACTGAACTGTTGCTGACTCTGCATCCTGATGTCCCTGGAGGACAGAAGCAAGAAAATAAAAAACAAGAATTTCCTCCGGCTGATCAATAAAAGGTATCACATTGGTGTATATGAGAGAGAGTGTTGAAGCTAAATGTGTGAGTTGTAATATAACCTCTTCTCAGCCTCTCCACAGGGAGGAGTTACAGC